TTATCCTTTCAAAAGCAGACCTCCAGCTAAGATCTTTTTCCTCACTCAAGGTTTCTTATGTGGAGCGTCTTTTCAGACCTGGCACCCCTCTGCTGCTAAGTGCTGTTTCAGTGATGGACTTTTTTATGATGGAGTCTAGTTAAAGAACGGAAGGATGACAAGTCAAAGTCTAATGATGCCCGTCATTAAGGCAGGGTGCTTCCTTTCTTTTCGTTTCGCCCTTCCTCACACTTCCCTGCTCTCTTCTCATTCTTCCCTCATCTCTTCTCGCGGCGCCGTCGGGTTTCATCTCACAGCCGTGCGGCCGAAATAAAGGGTTAGAGTTAAGAAAAATTGCAGAGAAGTTTGCAATCTTAGCAGCCTACAGAGGCAGACAAACAGCCTGAATAAAAGGAGCATGAAATGGTTCAAGTGAAAGCAGTCCAATAGCAATCTAGACTCTGCTGTCTAAATGTACCCTGGTGTTACTGTGGTTCTAACAATCAGCTGGTAAATAGGCTTTCTAGTGCGGGGCTTTGAGGTTTCATTCTCCTTCACGTTGTACTTATCGGTGCTCTTTCCTGGGTGGAAGCACGCAGCCGAGTGTGGTCTGTGGTGTTAGAGTGCTCTTTGGAGATTTTTTTCAGACTCTGCTGTTGACAGAAAACTCTAAAAGCTTCCTGTAAATAAAACACTCACATGTGCCCGTGCACCTGACCTACAATCACACCTGTTCACTCTTTCCTTGTAATGGGAGACTCCGAGTTTTTATTTATCCGTTTATTCCGTTTGTTCCCTCGAGACTGTGGTCGAGCAACATGCTCTGTAATGGGCTGTAAGGTCAAACGCTATCTTAACTCCAATGAGGAGAGAGTGTGACCTTTGAGAGGAAAAACAGTCTTCTTCAATCTTCTTTCCCTCGACGTCGCCGCTGCACTCGCCGGAGGAAGGGAGAGGGTTAGAGGAGGTCGAAGCGAGGGAGGATGAAGTGCAGAGATAGCGAGGGTAGTAATTAAAGTAAATATGTCCCCTTAGTGCTCCATTAGAATCTGCCTGCGTTTGATATAAGTGGCCTAATTATGCAAAACGCCAATGGACGTTGTGTAGTGTAATCACGAAATGTGCCAAGTGGGAGAGGAAAAAAAAGGAAAATGTCGCGTTCGAGGACGGAGGATTAATGGTGCGTTTGTGAGTGGAGCGAAAGACTAACACAAACATAAACATGTGCACAAAAGGCCTCAGTAACCATGTGTGAAGGACAGCGGTGCCGTTTAACGCCGTCCCTCCAGTTGATCAAGCGTTCATCACAGTTTGTTCTCCTCTGTCAGACAAGCAGATGAACAAGCACAAAGATAAAGTGGCTGACAGACAAAGAGCCATAGAGATGCTCGGGTCCAGATAACTGATGAGAGCAAAGCAGCCGAGCCCCTGACGGCCACTTTCAAAACCTCAAGTGTCAGAGAAAGTGAGGTGGTCAAGCCACGCCCCCTTCGTCGTCCAGCTTTAGCAAACTCTGTGCAACACGTTAGATTCAGGAGCTATTCACCCGTCTGTTTGTCTCTTTTCCAAAACATCCAGAGATGTCGTTCCCTCTCTCTCACTCACACAAAAGCACAAACATGGGTCTATGTTTGGCAAGGAGAGCGAGTTTCTTTTTTCAGCATGATTGCGATGACTCCTCTCAGAGTGTGTGAAGCTGCCAGCAGCACAGTGGGTGTATTCATGTACAGGCTGGTACAGCGGCTCCTGTTTCTTCCACAAGAGTAGTTTTACAGATAATAGTAGCAGATGATGATACAGTAAGTTGCATTAGCCTCTGCTGCTGCCGTGCACTTTTTATTTAGTTCAACCAAGAGACGCGTTGCAGACGTGTTGCACGAGTCATGTGCAACACGAGGGCGTAGGTCATTAAAACGCTGGCTTTTGCGTCGTTAATCACAGCCACAGGGTCAAAGTGATGATTGAGGTTTGCAAGCTGCACTTGATCTTTGAGGTGAGCTGCTCCCTGCTCATGTTTCTGTAGGTGGAGTTTGCAGCTACAACAGTGTGTCGCTAAAATGGTTCACTGCGGCTGTGTCCCAATTCAGGGTCTGCAGCCTTAAATTCCGCATTTTAAGTGCGATTACGTCACAGCGACGCGACGAAGGCTGTCCCAATTCGAAGG